CCATTGAAAATGAGAAAAGGTATCAATGGTATGATGAACATACTTTAATTGTCTAAAGAAGGGACGTCTCATGGATTAACCCCAGGATGGAAGGATGGAATGCTTAAAGGAGCACAGGAAAGACAAGCTCGAATAAGAGAACGAGCTTGTTTTGTTTTGTAGTATGTAGGTGGCCGATTAAAAGCGAATTAATTTGAGTATTACCATGAACTAATGGTCCAGGAAATTGAGAATGAGAACGAAGATGAGTGATGAATAAAGGAGTTTGACGTTGGCTCAAAGTAGAAGATAACAAGGAAAAGAGTTTTTGAAGAGAAGGAGTAGTACAAAGAGGTAAAGTGGCCTGAGAAATATAAGAAGTAACATAAACGGCGTATTGAGAATTACTAACAATGTTACAACCAGTAGTAGGGAAATTAAGTAAGACCATGAGAATAGTAAACAGTTTTTTCTGTTGCACCGAGGGATAAGGATAAACTGTAACTTGAGATTGATGAACACTTTAATATTTAGTCTTATTATTGTTACTAGTGTTAGTAAAAAAGGTAGGACCTTGAACAGGAAATACAGAAATTGGTGAGAAAGGCAACACAGAATGTTGCCTAAAAAATGAAAAGATTGGAGACTTAGGATATTGGGTAGAAAATTGTCCAACAAAAGAAGTGTAAGTAACTTGTCAAGAATTAGAAGTTGTAAGAAGATAAGTGATTTGATTATGAGTGAATTGAGGAATAATTAAGGAAGGATTTTTTTCCCAAAGTTGTTGACAGTGATGTCGTTCTTTGATGATTAGTTTAGTTAAACGATTGATATAAGTAGTTAAGTGTTTAGATATTTTATTGGACAAAAAGATTTATTTTAGTGGTCGACTAGTTTGATGAATTATTTTTGTGGGAGAAGGTAAAGTATGAAATAAACAAAAGGAAGGGCCTTTTGAAGTTGTTTTTTAACAAGTTGGAGTTTTTGTAAAGTTAAAAGAGTTAAATGGCGTGAGTTGTCCAAGTGACTGTTTTCTTTTAGAATAGAAAAAAGATGTTATAACTGATATGTTGGTATTTTTAAAACAGGACGTATTTAATTAATGTTTTTTAGAAGTTTTTGAAAATTATTTAATGTTTTTAAATGATTATGTCGAATTTGAATTTTTTGGGGTCGAATATTTTGTGTTTTTAAGGTATAACCTAAATATTGAATAGGAAAATTTAGTTAAAGTTTTTTTGTGGCAATATTAAGTGAGTAGAAAGAAAGTTGAGTTTGTAATGATACAAAAGTATTTTGTTGTTTTTTTTTTTGGTGGGTGTAGTAAAAAGAATGTCATTCATATAATGATATAAAAAAACAGAAGGATGACGTTTTTGAACAGGATTCAAGGCCCTATGGACAAATTTTTGACACAAGGTAGGGCTATTTAACATACTTTGAGGTAAAACTTTTTATTGATATTGAGAAAGTGGCTGAAAATTATTAAAAACAGGGACAGAGAAGATCCATACAATGATAAATTAACACAGTTAGAAACTGATTGTTTACAGGATTTAAAGTTTTATGTACGAATTTTTGACATATAGTAGGGCTATTAAGTACACCCTGGGGAAGAAGTTTTTGTTGATATTTTTGAATAGGTTGTCTATTATTATATTTAGGAATAATAAAGGTAAACTTTTTACAATTTTGAGGTTGTAATGGAATAGAGAAAAAACAATTTTTGAGATTTATGACCATTAATTTTTAACTTTGTGGGATAAGGGCAGGATTAGGAAGACTGGGCTGTAAATTTTTTTGGTTGAATGTAAACATTTATAGTTTTAAGAACAAGACAAAGACGGGAATTTTATGTAGAAGTACGTGGCTTTAGATTTTTTTTGGCCATTTGTTTTTTGACTTATTTTTTTAAAATTTTAAGTATTTTTTTAGATAATGGCCACTGTTTTTACCTAAAGAGGAGTGGTCGTTTTACACTTTAATTATAAAACTTGAGGCTGGTGAACAGTGGTTATGAGTTTAAAGGATTATAGTCCATTTTGAACATTATATTTTTGACAGTTGAGGAAATATGAAGAATGTTTAAAAAAGTACCAAATTGTTATGAAAGATTTTGTCTCCAAAGATTAATATTGATAGGAATAATATAAAAAAACACTTGACCTTGTTGACCTTTAGGACCGACATAGGTTAAAGGTTTTATGTTTTGATAACCACAGAAGTAGTACCCAAGTCAGTGAGTATAACTGAAACTTATCTTTTTTTTTATTGTATAGGCCACTAATTTAAACAAATAATAGACATATTTACCCTCATATTAATTAACTTTTTAAAAACTATTTTATTAATATGTAATGAATATAAGGGCTTTTGATTAGAAACTAAAGTTATTTAAAAAACAGTTTTTTTGTGTGTTACCAAACCCTCCCTATTGAGAATACGTTTTTTTGTCTTTAGGCATATAAATTGTGAACCTGTACCATAATAAGAATTTTATTAGTAACATTAAGATTAATGATTTTTGAAATTATTATTAATTTTTATATAGTACTGTTGTTTTGACCTAACAAAAGTCCTACATGTTTTTTTGGCAAAGGGCCACACACTTTAATAGTTAATTTATATACTTTTTTATTAGGAGACAAAGTATAAGGCTGAGTAATAGTTAAGTCAGTAGCGGCGTTTTGTTTAGTTGTCGTATAAAGTTGAGAAACTGGGGTAAGGTGTGGGATTTTTAAGGAGGACTTGAATTTATTTTTTAATGTTGTAGGCCATTGTTTACTGAATATTGTAGTAGACTTGTATTATAATTGTTGGGGCCTCAAACCTGTGGGCCCCGACTTTTGTTTTCCAGGAGAGGAGACAGTAAATTTTCACTTTTATTAGTTTTGGAATGACATTTATTTGTTTAATGTCGACCTTTATTACAACATTTGTACATCTTTGAAGGCAGTTTTCTGCCTCGAGGGATAAAAGTGTTTAATTTTTATGACATTTTTTTTTGAAATGTCTAGGTTTACCACACTGAAAGTAAATACCTTGTTTGTTATTTTTTTTTAAGGCTTTAGACAAAGTTTTAGTAAATAATTGAGTATTATAAATAGTCCCTTCAACACTAACACAAGTTTTAATATATTTATTTAAATTGGCCCCATTGGCTTTTAACGATTTTAACAATTTTTGACAGTCAGTATAAGTATTTTTAAAAGACAATGTTTGTAACAAAATTTTTGAAGTAAAGTCAGTACTTAAAATTTTTAAGACAGTATCCTGAAGACGGGCTACGAAATTTGGATAGGGTTTATTTGTGCCCTGTAAAATCTTCACAGAGGAAAGGGAAGATTTTTTTGTTATTTCTACCTTATTTTAGGCCCTTAAGAACAAAGTCTTGATTTGAGTAAAGGCAACATTATTTAGACCAGTCTGAGTATTAAGAGTAGTATATTGGCCTGTGTCTGTGAGTTGTTTCTCAGTGGGTCCTGGGGATTACACATAACATTTTTTTTAGCCTGTACATGTGCCTTGTCCATTTACCAGCTGTGCAATTATAACCACTGAGAACGATCAAGAAAAGCCTTCCCCAAAGTCTTTTAGTCTATAGGAATCATCAAATTTTTTGATGAAAAAATATCAAGAAGACCAAGGATAGGGGTCCATAGTTAGAAATGGCAGCTTTCATTTCTTTTAAAAATTTAATTTGTAAGGCATTAAATTGGACATTATTGCCACCATTTGAAAACTGAGCATTAGGAGTAAAAGAAGTACAAATAATTAGAAACAGATCCAGCTTCTTAAAATTTTTTTTTTAATTAAAAGTATATATAATATATAATAATACTCATATCCCCAAATATAAAGAATCCCAACATATTAATAAGAAAAGGCAAATAACCCAACCAAAAGTAGTAGAACAAAGAAATGACAATAAACCTATATGTCTAACATCATTACTCACTAGGAAATATGTATATTAATACCAAATTGAGAATCATTACATACATAATACAATGGTTAAAATTTAAAAACACAGAAAATATCAAGAGGTAGTTAATGTGTTAAGTAACTCGAATACTCAACTTCTGTTTGGAGTGTAAATTGGTGGAACCTATGCACCCCTATAACATAACAATTTCCTAGCTGGGGTTATTAATACTATATTAATATTAATAGTTAATATTAATGTGCTTATTTATTGACTATTGAAATACTCACAATATTTTAACAAACAATAAGATATACATATATACTGGTTTTGACATATTAAACAGGTGTTTAGTATAAATTTAAAGTATGTCTGATGTGAACAGGGCTTCAACTTTGCCAAACAAAGGTAAAGATAAGGAAGCCGGGGGGTTGGAGGCTCTGGAAAATCCTTTTTTAACAGGGCAGAAGGAAAAGAAACGGGGAAAGCTCGCAAAGGTGAATTAGAAGAATATATCTGTAATATTTGTTGAAGTATTTCCATAATACACTGTATGTCAGAATTTCCCTTAGAAGAAGGAAAAGCTGGCTTTTTCTCTTCTCCCCCTTTTGCTATCCCCCCCATCCTCTGTTATCCTGGCACAAATGGGCTCCATTTCAGATTTATTTTTTTTTCCAAATCCTCAGATACCTTTCCTCCTGTGGCTACATCACCACACTCTGAATCAGTCTCAAGTAACTCTAATGTCTGAGTGATAGAGTCACACAAGTCCACAATTTTAGAGGCATAATATCCCCTAACTGGAGAGCTCTAAGCAGAGCTTTTACTACCTGTAACCATTCTCTGCGATTCAGCTGCACTTTAGTCTGATACTGAAACCAGTAACGATGTTGTTCAACATGGGCAAACAATCACTTCAAAGTCTTTTTCTTTCACTTCTACTCCTATAGACAGCAACAGTCCTTGAAACAGCCGTAAATATTCTGAGGCCAGAGAGATGGAATCCCCATAATGAAAGCTTAAGAAGGTTCCCCTTAACAATATCCGGGCCTTACCCGCCCCTAGGGGGTTCCCCTTCTTTTTCTCCCCTACTCACCCGTGCTGACCCTGCTCGCTGCGCCACTTGTTGGGGTCCGTGCCGGGGGTGGTGGAGAATGAAAGAACACACAAAAGACAAAGACACACAGAGAACATGGCGGCCGCGCTCAGAGCCTCCGCCTCACTTTATTTATACTCCATAAACCCCACGTCAGCAGAAAGAATGCAATGCAAAACAAACTTTCTTTTCCCAGATGTAACCTTCTACTCAGTTCTTTGTTTCTATGCTCTTCCTTATCTGCCCGCCTTCTTGGCGCCTACGGGAGTTCATTAAAAGTTCAATTGGAGATACTGTCCTTGAGCCCTATCTATTCTCAGCATACTGTTTTCAAAGGCCCCTGCAGCACCCTCTTTGTTTTTTGAATGAGAGTGCTGAAGGTCAGAGAGGTTGACGGTTTTGACTCAGGTCACACAGCTAAGTGCAAACAGAACTGGGGCTGGAATCAGAAACTGCATTATGGTGCCAAGCTTCTCATCCTTCACGTACTGACTTTTGCTTTTTAACCCTGTCCATTTCTCTGCTAGACTCAGCAGAAAAGCAAAGTAGCATAAGATACCTGTAAATAAGAGAGACAACGCACATGTCCCCGAAGTTAAATAATCACAACAGGGAAGCAGACTACAGGTAGCAGCTGCTGTGGCGTTCCCACAATTCCCCTCCATCAAATCCTCTGTCCATACTGCAGCTGCCCGTCTGCAAGGCTCAGAGCTTATCTGTCACTGGAAATAGCCCTTGAGTGAGGAGAACTGCCCTTTTTAGGGAAGCACATGGCCCATGACTGGCTGATGTGTGAATACAGAAGCTGGCCCAACTTGCCTCAGTTTGGCATGACCCTGCAGGGTTAGAGCAGGCCCTGATGTCCCCAAGAAGCGATCAACATTGGACTCAGTCGCAACCGCATGTAGCTCAACTTCTCTCTGGCACACAGCCACTTGCGAATCTTCCTTCTTCTTCTGACCCCACGGAGCTTCCCTGGGTTTTGGGGTGTCCTGCTAGAGATATTCTCTCTCCATTTCTCTCTCTCTCTGTCTCTCTCCTCTATATATGTATATATGTATACATATATACACGCACACACAAAACTGCAAATATTCACATTGTAAAAGTATAAATGATGGAACACAATACAGTGGTTTTTTTTTTTAACAAACAATGTACTTTGGAGATCATTCCATTTCATACATATAGATCTACCTCATTTAAAAATATGTATATAGTTATATAGTATTCCAAAGTGTGGATGAACTGATTTTATACAACCAGCTCCTACTGTTTAACAATTAGCTTCACACTTCTAATATTTCAATCAGGGCTGCAATAAATATTTGCATGCCCGTGTGATTGTTTCCATGTGTGAATATACATCTAAAACAAATTCCTAAAAGTGGAATAGCTGCATTCAAAATGGATGTACATTTTAATTTTGTTACAGTTTGGAAATTTGCTGTCAAGAAATGATACTAATTTGTATTGTCAGGAAACAAAGTGTCTGTTTCCCCATAGAATAGACACCAGATGAACACGTCTGCCATCTCCCCAGAGAGGACAAACAGTCGCTTGGTTTGCTGTCAAAATGCAACGCAAAGGTTGAAGCCACGCACCTCCTCATTCAACAGCATGCAGGACGATGGAGAAAACCTCCAACTGGGACCCTACTGGGGCTTCTCTTCTTTGAAAAGCCTGCATCTCCTTGGGTGTTACTGCTTATCCTGTCAAAACCAAAACTTGGCCGTCCTCTGATGGAGCGGAGTTTCCATACAGACAGAGCAGTCAGGTCCCCATGGAAACCCCAGGCTTGCTGACCCTAGAGGAAAATGCTGTTACTCACAGTGCTGGAGGCAGATTCATGTAGAATAACCATAATGAAAGTCATTATCCTCGTAACTGTAGGGCCTTGGGGTTTACATTCATTTTTTTCTGCTTAAACTCCCGTGATTTGCACATTTGCGTCTTTTGAATGGGGCCTTCAATGGAGAAGCTGATTACCACAGCATAAAAGAATCTTGTAGCCCTTTCTGGCATGAGATAGGTGTGCACTGCAGAGACGGTCACCACCCCTAAACCTAACGTTCTGGATGAATATTTATCTCCTATTCTCATGAGAGCCAAGTGGTGCCTTCTCACTCAACACCTGATCAATTATGTGGCAATCAAACAAAACCATCTTTAAAAGCACTGATTTCCAGCCCCAGTCTCATTTGGTCCTATTCAACACCAAATGCCTAGTGACAAGCATCATCATTGCCTCATCAGAAACATTGAGAGGCCTCTTTCAATGAATCGTCAACCCTTCATAAGCGTTAGAAAAACTTTTAGCTAACAGAATGATTCTAGACATAGATATTTAATCATAGCAATCTTTACCATACAGATATTTTATGTATCAAGACAAAGATATTAGACATTCCCAATTCTTGCTTTTTCTCCAAATATAAAATCTTCCAGGAATTTATGGATATTAAAAAATATTTAGACCGGGTGAGGTGGCTCACGCCTGTAATCTCAGCACTTTGGGAGGCTGAGGCTGGTGGATCACGATATCAGGAGTTCAAGACCAGCCTGGCCAAGATGGTGAAGCACCATCTCTACTAAAAATACAAAAATTAGCCGGGCATGGTGGCGGGTGCCTGTAATCCCAGCTACTCAAGAGACTGAGGCAGAGAATTGCTTGAAGCCAGGAGCTGGAGGTTGCAGCGAACCGAGATAGTGCCACTGCACTCCAGCCTGGGTGACAGAGCGAGACTCCGTCTCAAAAAAGAAAAGAAAAGAAAAAATATATATATATATACACACACACACACACACACACACACACACACATATATATACACACACACACATATATACACACACACACATATATATGTGTATATATATATTTAACTTGCTCTGACTAAGCCTGTGTTTTAACAAATACCCTTAATAGCCTCTCTTGGGATTTCCTATTGGTATGTGCTTATCTTCTTTGTTAACTCAGTTTTGCAGAGGAAAATATGTGCTTACTTTCAAAATGTATATATGGCCACATCTTTCGTGAGAATGGTGGCTCTGGACTAGGCTGATGGTCAGAGGGGATAGAGGGGGAGTGTAATGTGTCATGTGGTCCAGCAGGCATGCTCAAATCCCATTAGCTTTATGACCTTGCGTGGCCTGCCTAACCTTAGTTTCCTAATCCCTCTGCATTCTCTAAACTGAAACAATTCCATAGCAGTAGACTCCAGAAAGGTTGCTTGCATTGCAAACATAGTAGCTTAAAACAATCACCTTATAGAGTATCTGTGCTTTGGTAGATCAGGAATTTGGGAGCAGTTCAGTTAGGTGGATCTGGCTTGGAGCCTCACACGAGGTTGCTCTCACATGATGACTAGAGCCGTGGTCATCTCAGATGTGTTTTCTCTTATACGTCTGAAGCCTGGGCTGGGAAGACTCAACAGCTAGGGGCTGGGAAAGCGGGGGATCCTCAACCTCTCTGTCACGGCGGCTTCAGAGTAGCTGCACTCTCCATACAGTGACTCCTGGAGCCAAGGCAGCATGTGTAGAAAGACCAAGAGCTGAGCGGAAGCCACACCTTTTCCATGACCCGGCCTCGAGGACAGGCCACGTCACATCTGCCTCTGCCACTCACTAGAATTGAGTCCCTAAGGATGGCTTATATGAAACGGGAAAAGGATTAGTCTCCGTCTTTGATAGGAGGAATATTAAAGAATTTGTGGGCGTATTTTAATATCACCACTATATAGAACGCAGTATTGCAGCCCTTGAAATGAAGAAGACTATTTGCGCTGTGACAAAGAGAGGAAGCTGGGAAGGTCCCAAATGTGTTCTTGTGTACCCAAGAGTGTGGTGAGTGTGAGGAGGAGAGATAGGGGCTATGGCAGGGTCTCTAGCATCCCCAAGGACAGTGGAGGGGGATGGCAGTGGCGCTTGTGCCGCCTAAATCCCAGCGGGGACTCAGAGACTCAGAGGGTTTCACCGTGAGCAATGAGCAGGACTGGACATTGCAGTGGACACCAGCATGGACTAAGGGCGGCTGTGGGCCAGACCCTCCCTTGCCCTCCTTTTGTCTACATGCCATGGAAGGCCCCCAGAGCTATGACCAGGGAAGCAGGAAGAAAAGGGCCAAAGAGGGAAGTTCTGAATTGACAGAGTTTATGTCAGTGACTGAGTGTGTCTGGATTATATGTTCTGATATCAGGACAAATAGAAGCTTGAGATAGAAGATGTCTTAGTCTGCTTAGTGTTGCTATATAGGAATACATGAGGCTGGGTAATTTGTACAGAAAAAGGTTATTTGGCGCATGATTCTGATGGTTAGAAAGTCACAATTGGGCATTTGCATCTGGGGAGGGCCTCGGGCTGCTGATTCTCATAGTAGATGGTGAAGGGGAGAGATCACATAGGGAGAGCAGAAGCGAGAGAGTGGGTAGGTGCCGGGCTCTGAAGGAATTAATAGAGTGAGAACTCACCTCCAAAGGAGGGCATTCATCTACTGATGAGGGATCCACCCCCATGACCCAAACACCTCCCATTAGGCCCTGCCTCCAACACTGAGGATCACATTTCAACATGAAGTTTTAGGGGACAAACATCTAAACTACAGCAGGAGCTGAACTCACATATAGGAAAAAAAAAAAAAAAAGCTGCATTTCTTGCATATTAGAATTTTTACTTTTTTCTTTTCTTTTTTTTTTTTTTTTTGAGATGGAGTCTCACTCTGTCGCCCAGGCTGGAGTGCAGTGGTGCGACCTCAGCTCACTGCAAGCTCCACCTCCCGGGTTCGCACCATTCTCCTGCCTCAGCCTCCCGAGTAGCTGAGACTACAGGCACCCGCCACCACGCCCAGCTAATTTTTTGTACTTTTAGTACAGACGGTGTTTCACCATGTTAGCCAGGATGGTCTCGATCTCCTGACCTTGTGATCCACTCGCCTCAGCCTCCCAAAGTGCTGGGATTACAGGCATGAGCCACCAAGCCCATCCAGAGCTTTTTCTTAAAAACATCATATATACTTGAAGATAGGGGACCTGGATTTAGTATC